CCCGTGCAGAGCACGCGCCACGCCAGGCTCGCTGGCGGTGAGCCGCCCTACGGGCGCGGCCGTTCTAGAGCGAGGGGGACCCTGCGCACACGGGCCGCTCCTGACCCACAGTGCCGCCAGCTTACAGGCCACCAAACACCCCGGCAAGGCCGGCCCGAGGCTGCGCCGGGCGGTCAGCGGACCTGAGCAGTGTCCCCTAAGGCAGGCCGCAGGACGTGCTGCAGGAGCACGGGGGAGGGACACGAGGCTCTCTGGGCCGCGACCGCCAGAAGCGTGCGCTCGTCCCCGAGCTGCGAGGACGGCAGTCACCCGCCGGCAGGTGGGGCAGTGCAGGTGTCTGCGTGCCAGGAGCCACGCGAGAAGCCGGCCGCCCTCCCAGTAAGCTGTGCCAGGCCGAGCCCCGTCCGCAGGTGACCACGGGCGGCAGGCCCCTCCTGTCCCCGCGGCCCCGCGGCCGTGGGCTTCCTCAGTGGGCCCGTCCCGCTCCCCGCCCTGTCTCTGGGGACGCCTCTCGCCGCCACACTCTGGCCTGCACCCAGCTCGCTGTGCGGCAATAAATGAATGCTGAGGAGGCCTGAGGAGGCCTGAGGAGGCCGGCGGCGATCAACTGAGAATGTGCAGCGGCGCCTCAGCTACAGGCGCATGTCAGGAAAGAGGGCCCGAGTCGACAACAACGAATTCTATCATCACTCTTACTCGAAATCTTAATTCTTCATTCAACTTTTTGACCCCTCTTTTAAAGATTCGTTTTCTTTATGGAAACACAGAAGTGGGGTGCAGGCCACAGGTGCCGGGGATGAGAGGCGTCCCCAGAGACAGGGCGGGGGCGGGGCAGGCGGATGGAGGAAGCGCGCTGCTGGGGGCCGCGGGCAGGGGCACAGAAGGGGCCTGCCGGGCGCTGGGGCCCGCCCTGGCTGGGCCGCGCTGCGGGGGCGGCGGCAGCTTCACAGTGCTGCGCTGTGACCCCGCGCCACGCGGACGGCCCAGATCAAGACTTTTTGACTCAGGCAAGAAAGTCTAGTGGCTTAACGACTCAGGACTTGAAAACGTGGGAAAACTTTGACATCTGAATAACTAAGGTGATACAAAATACGTGTTAGCAGCGAAGGCACAGGTCACGCTAACACTACTGTGATTTTCACTACAATTTAGTGAAAATAAAAATAAAGCTTTTTCTCAGTCATTTTCATAGATCCCTCCAAAGGCGGGACTGGTGCGTACACACCTAGAATACATCAAGCTGAGCGCAGCTTAGCGTTCCTGAAGGAAAATTCAGACTGAACCACGGTCACGTTTCTCTCATTCAATTAAAAGCAAAATCTGCCAGGACAGCTCTTACCTGAATTATCTGTGGCGCTACCTGCAAGGAAGGCAGGTATTCTTGCTGAAGATACTGAACACATTCTGGGCCCTGAAGACGAAAAGGCAACGACAATGAAGTCACTTCCTCCTCGTCACAGTAATGCTTGAAAAGAAACTGCAGCATCCACGCGCTTTTAAGTAAACAGCATCACAGCGCGCAGCGCAGAAGCAGCCAGACTGCTCGCTCCTCCGGCCAGTCTCTGCTGACTCGCCGAGCTGCCTGCGACCTCCCAGCTCGTGTCCTCTGGGAGGACCAGACCAAGGCGGAGCGTAAGACCTGCGGGCGGCGCTCAGGATTTAAGTGCGGTTGTCTGACTGCCGGAGGTCACGCGGCCCGGCATGTGCTCCAAGGAGCCAGGACAGGGCCTCCCTGGGGGCGCGGGGGACCCCAGGGCGCGCAGACCCCACCTCCCCGCTGGCCCCCACAGCGGGTCTCGCTCATCTGCTGCCCTGCTCCCGTGTCCTCCCCGCACCTCTGGCCTGCACCCCGGCCCCCGTCAGCATAAATAACACGAATCTCTAAAAAAGCAACACAGAGTCGCCCAGGGGCGACCAGCCCCCCCCCCCAGTGCTCTGCCCGCTCACGCCCGACGCCCAGTGTAACACGGGGCCGCCGCAGCACAAGGGGTCAGGTGAGACACGGGCTTAGCAGCGAGAGAGAGAGCGCCTGTCCGGACAGGGGCGCCCGCAGCGGCCAGCAGACCTCGCCAGGGACCAAGGCCAGAAGACAGCGGCAGAACAAGCTGCGGGTGCCGGAAGGGGAAGG